AATAGACAGTGTGTGATATGGGACTCAAGTTCAGCAAAAAAAAAAAAAAAAAAAAAAGATGGACTTCTAGATCCAGAAGTCAGCTGCAGAGTAATAATAATTGAAACCATGGAAGCTAATAAGATCACCAAGCGAGAGAGTATAGACCAAAAAGAGAAAAGGTCTCAGAACCAAGCTTTGGAGTACAATCACAGTTAAGGAGTTTGATAAAAGTAAAAATCCAGCAATGGGAAATGAGAAAGTAGTCAAACAGGTAGGAGGAGGGCTTGTCATGGACTCCCGGAGACCAGAGAATGTCCAGAAGTAGAGAGCTGTCAACAGTTTCAAATGCTACAAAGAAATAAAGAATGATGAGGATTGGGAAAAGACCATTAGATTTGGCAATTAGAGATCATTAGTAACTTTGGAGAGAACAGTTTCAATTGAATTACAAAGTCAGATTGCAGAAGGTTGAAGAATAGAGTGTTAGGAAAGGAAGCAGAGACACTCAACATAGACAGTGGCACACAGGTAAGACATAGAAGGGGAACAGAGTTCCACCATGGATCTTGCTAATTGACAGGGAATGCTGGAAAACCACGCTAGCTTCCTTGCTTCAATTAACTCAAACAGCCTAATGAGATAAACTGACTATGAGTGGCTGAGACCGAGAAAAGTTCAGAGAATCAAGGATTATGTGGAGGTAAAAATGAGGGAGGTGGGAAGAGAGCATCTAGGCTCAAGGCTTTCATGTTTTATAAATGAAGTTGAGGCCTGCAGAGATTAAGCAATTTACTCAAGATTACACAATTGGCTACAGTCTACGAATGATCTATTCTTGACCCTGGAACCCTGACACATTTTAATGTTGAGAACTGGGTGAAGACAGAACAAGCTACCAAGAAAGGCTTTTTATTCTAATTTAAGGTTCAGGATGAATTGTGTCTGGTTTTGTTTGCTTTGTTTTTAAAGACATTTAAACATCAAGATAGGAAACTCTTCCTTAAACTTTTTTTTCTTGAAAAGGATCTAAATGGTTTCCTTGTTACTGTCATTTTATGCTTAGCTATTTTAGAGGGATGTTTTTGCCATTTAAGTGGGATTATTATTATTATTAAATTGGGTGGGCTGGAATAGCAATACTCTAGTTAGAAATTCCTAAGTTCTATCCATGCCATACCACTTGCACCAACAGCTGGTAATCAGTTATGTACTCAAAGTACAGTTTTGATTTGAGAGTTTGTTGAAAATCATTTTGGAAGCTGAAAACTCTAAGTTTTACAGATAAGGAAACAGGGACCAGGCGAGCTTATTTTGCTCAAGGTTAAATAGCTATTGGTGGCAGAGCTGGGGTTCAAACCCAGGTCTCTGAACTTCCAATCAAAATATCACAGGCCACTAGAGAATTATGCTTACATATCAATGTATTCCAAAAGTTTTATCAAAAAACCCACCCCCCCAAATAGAAATGTTTCAGTGTATTTTAGATTTAAGGGATTTTACAAAATGAACCCATAAGAGACATCAGCTGTAGAGCAGAAGAAAACACACTGGCTTTTGATTCAGAAGATCCAGGTCCAAACACTGACTCGCTCTTTCATTGCTCTGTGACACTGTGTGAGTCACCTGACCTCTATGGGCCTGATGTTCCTCATATGTAACATGACTTGAGTTGTACTACATTGACAGTAAGGTCTCTTCTGGCTCTAAATCATAGACCTGAAGCATTTGTCACAAACAAACACTAGAAATAAGCTAACTCTAATAAGTCATCTTTGATATCAAAAACCAGTAGCACTGATTTAGGCCCATTCTTTCTACAGGAGGGCTTGAAATCATTTTGCTGATTAAAAAAAAAATACTCCAAGTGAATCCAAAAGAGCTAACTTTTAAAATTCCTTACAATTTTAGAAAGGTGTGTGTGTGTGTGTGTGTGTGTATGTGTATGTGTGTGTGATGGCTAAAGTTCAGTTGCCAGCTAATGTCCATGGCAGGGGTAGCTAAGAGTTTGGGCCATTCATGACCATAAATAAATACACTCAGATGTTTAATAAATTCCTGTAGAAGGCAGAGGATTTATAAGCATATTTGAATTTCAACAAACTTGAATTTCACACCAAGAAACCAAGCTAAGTCAACACTCCACACAATGATGCCTCTGATCAACAGTTTAAACTGTTACCTTTAAAAACTAAAGTGTAAATAGAAAGATCATAGGACCATAGATTTAAAGTTGGAAATGAGCTTTTAGGTCATATGATCCAAACCCTCATTTTACACTTGAGACTGAAGTGTCAGAGACTTTGAGTGACTTCTGACACATTTGTTATAAGACTTGTTAATTGGTCTTCATCCATCCATCCACCTCTTCTTTCCATGGGATTCTTCCTCAACTTTATATCCCTATTTTCTGTGCTATAATAAAAGATGACATTTACATAGGATGTTAAGATTTACAAAATACTTTACATATTTTGTGTCATTTGATCTTCATAACAGTCCTATACAGATACTGTTACTCCTTTTTTACAGATGAGGAAACTGAGGCTCAGAACTTTGATGATACCTAATGTCTTGTACCTAGGAAGTATTAGGGCCCTACGTCTCCACTGATTTTTAAGGTTGCTCTACCTCCTAGCTACAGATAGGTAGGCAAATTTGAGCTTTCTCACCAGAGCTCTGCTGGAAGCTAGTGTTAACACATTCACAGAGACAGTGTGTTTCATAAACACACACTATGACTTAAAAATGACAGATAATGAATTAAGACAATCTATGCAAAGCACTTTGCAAACCTTAAAGTACCGTACACACATTAGCCATTACTATTATTTTCTGACCACTCCAACTTCTGATTTGGAATGAGAATGTCTATTCAATACAAGCAGATTATCCATGATGAACAGTCAATACAGATTTGTGAAGAACTTGGGCAAATCAAAGAATCTTAAGAAAACTAGCAAATAGCTATCATTTTATACATTGGCTTAAAACAGTCTTGTTACTAACCATTCCTCTTGCTCAAGACAAGCAAATTTACCTCAGGTCAATAGAAAAGAACCTTGGGTTTCATTGATTTACTACAAGCATAACTATAGCAAAGCAAAGGAGTTAATATTTGTGTATCCACTTCATAAGGCTGGCTCACAGAATCCTCACCCTACTTCCTCTTTCCTTCTTTTTTTCTCTTTCTTTCTTTCTGTAAATAACTTCTCCAAATAAAGTCTTCATTTTTAAAAGTGCATGTGAAACCTTGTCTATGGTAAGGTTTTCCTGAAGAGGGCCCTGCTCATAGTCTACTTCGGCAGCATTACCAAACTAATCACAGCTGGACCATCTGAATAGGGACCCTGAATAGGGACTTCTACCATGATAGAATCAGCTTTCAAGTGGGAACGGAACTTAAGAGATCATTTATTGCAACTCCCTCATTTTACAGAGGAGGAAGCCCAGGCCCAGAAAGGTTAAGGAAATTGTCTAAAATCACAACTACAGTGTGGTAGAGCCAGGATTTGATTCCTACTTTCCTGACTAGGAGTGTTTTTGGTTTTTTGGTTTTTTTTTTTTTATTACTGTGCACCAACCTCCAAGAGTGTGCACTTGTAAGACTGACAGGCAGGAATTTAGAACAGTCTCTTTGTCAAGGTAGAAATGCCCAAAATGGATTTAGTTCCCACAAATAGGGCATTCTATTCGGACCTGTTAAGCTGACTAGTTCAAATTAACAATATTTCAAAGTATATACTTTATATTAACAAGATTTACAGAAATTAAACCAACTCTAGACATTCCACTTAGAGTATTGGATTTCTCTAGCTATTCCTAGGATCAACAACCTAGAGCTGGAAGGGATCATCAGAGGTAATTAGCCCAATTGACTCAATTTATAGATGAGAAAGATTAGGCACATGGAGGTTAAGGGACTTTCCCCAAGTCACACAGGTAGTATCAACTTAATTTCCCAGAAATTTAAAGGCACTGATTTTTGTAAAGGATGAGTAATTATGCTGCCATTCTCATACAACCTTCTAGTTATAATCATTCCTCAACATTAGCCTTTTCTCACTCCACTAAGTCAAGCCCTCCTCACTTCTTACTTAGACTACTGCAATAGCTTCCTCATTTGTTCCTATACCTTAAGTCTTCTCCTTCTAAAATTCATCTTTCACATAGCCGACAATGTGATTTTCTTAAAGGAAAAGTCTGACCATGTTATGCCCTCTTCCTCACTTCATAAATTTTAATAGCTCCCTATTACCTATAGATCAAATGTAAACTGCATTGGTATTTAAAGTTCTTCACAACTTAGCCTCATTCTAGCTTTTAGCTTTCTTACACATTCCTACACCTCTATATGATCTACCATACACTGATACTGACCCAACGTATGTTGCTCACACACAACACACCACTGTCCAGCCTTCATAGTTTTGCACTAGCTACTCCATACCTGGAATACATATCTTCCTCATTTGTACCTCCTGGAATCCCTGGTCTCCTGTAAGATTAAATTCAAACGCTGACTTCTGCATGAAACCTTTTCTGTACACACCAGCTGCAGGTATGTTCCTCTTCAAGGTTATCTTTTATTTGCTTTGTGTGTTCTGAGTGTACCTTTATATGTACAACACATATTGTCTCCCCAACTGGAATGCAAACTCTTAGAGGGTAAAAATTATTTTTGTCTTTAAATCTCCAGCACTTAGCACAATGCCTAAAATAAAGTAAATGCTTAGTATTCTTGTTGGTTGACTGAATTACCACTCTTTCCTCTTCTTAGATCTCAAATTGCCTCCTACCTATGCTAAACCAATTTTTATTACGCTTATTTCATTCATTTACCACAAAGTAAACCTTTATCACTCACAAAGATAATAGTACACAGATATTACTAACTTTTTGTTATATATGGTAAGTTAAAATATTGGTACACTCTATTAAGACATACTGATATACCAATTTAATGTTAATTACTGCTCACATTAGTTTTTAAAAAACAAGAAAATAATTTAAATGCTCACTTGCACATCTGTTCATGTCTGGTGCTCTATGTCCATAATACCCTGATGGGCATGAATGTAAGCACTCTCCATATTGCCTCATTCCTTCTCTTCGAAGAAAGAAGAATAGCTTTTGTTGGCACCTGCTGCATCCATTATCCTTTGAACAAGACAAACAACCTTTGCAAATTGGATTTGATATGTAGCTAGCTGCAAAACAAAAACAAAGAAGTAAGATGTACCATTTTGAAAAGTTAGGAGTCTTAGGAAGAGGCAGAGATGTAGGGGGGGAAGGGACAGGCCTTAGTGATAAGATGGGGCAAGGATTAAAACTTTTTAATTAGAATGTATTCTTTATACATTCTAACACCAACAATAATGCATACAGCATTTCAAGTTAACATTAATTCTAAATTTATTCTAATTCTAACATTAATTCTAAATACATACCATGGGGGGGGGGGCAAAGCCAAGATGGCAGAGGGAAAGCAGTGACTGTCTTGAGCTCTCTCCCAAAGCCCTCCAAATACCTAAAAAAATGGCTCTAAACAAATTCTAAAGCAGCAGAACCCACAAAAAGACAGAGTGAAACAAATTTCCAGCCAAAGAGAGCCTGCATGGTTGATCAGAAAGGTATATCACACCAGGTGGGGAGAGGAGCGCAGTTTGGCGTGGGTGCACAGGCCGCAGCGACCCTGGAGCAGGCCTCAAAGGACTGAATCACAGGCAGCTGTGGCGGTTTCCAGACTTCTCAATCCCTGAATGCCAAAGACAACTTAGAAGGTCAGTGGGAAAAGTCTGTGACTGCGGTGAAAGAGGAGCTAGGTATCAGCCACAAGCCTCCAGCGTGGCCCGGGAGAAGTCTCAAGCGCAGCCCAAGGGGGCTGTGGCTTTTTCCTGAGCTTCTGGCCCACAGACTGAGGGGGAATCAAGTGACTGATCAGAGGGGGATTGCAGGGAACTCTTTGTCAGTGCTGAGGCAGGAATCTCTTGCTTTACAGGTGCTTAGATCTGGGTCACAGTTCTGAGGGGCGGTCCTTGGGCAAGGAGGAAGGCTGGAACGGTGGAGCTTGTTGTGGCCATGGAGAGGAAACACCTCACCCCTTAATATACCACCTTGGAAGAACTGAAAATTTACAGGTCCCTAGAAGTATCTCTGAAAACAGTTGTACAAACCCCCGAAGCTTGGGACAGTACACTCTTCACATTGGAAGCAGACTTTTACCTTAACAAAGAGTTTAAAACTCTAATAATTGGCCTGGATCATAAGTAAGCAGCACAAAAAGAGTCAGACTATATTATCTTACTTTGGTGACAAAGAAGATCAAAACATACAACCAGAAGAAGACAACAAAGCCAAAGCTCCTACATCCAAAGCCTCCAAGAAGAACATGAATCAGTCCCAGGCCTTGGAAGAGCTCAAAAGAGATTTTGACAAGCAAGTAAGACAAGTAGAAGAAAAACTGAGAGTGATGCAAAAAATCATGAAAAACAAGTCAACAGCTTGCTAAAGGAGACCCAAAAAAATATGAAGAAAATAACACCTTAAAAAATAGCCTAACCCAAATGGCAAAAGAGGTCCAAAAAGCCAATGAGGAGAAGAATGCCCTGAAAAGCAAAACTGGCCAAATGGAAAAGGAAGTCCAAAAGATTACTGAAGAAAATACTTCCTTAAAAATTAGAATAGAGCAATTGGAAGCTAGTGACTTTTTGAGAAATCAAGACACTGTAAAAGAAATCCAAAAGAATGAAAAATTAGAAAACAATGTGAAATATTTCATTGGAAAAACAACTGACCTGGAAAATAGATCCAGGAGAGAGAATTTGAAAATTATTGGACTATCTGAAAGCCATGATCAAAAAAAGATCCTAGACATCATCTTTCAAGAAATGATCAAGGAAAACTGTCCTGATATTTTAGAACTAGAGGGCAAAATAGAAATGGAAAGAATCCACCTATCTCCTCCTGAAAGAGATCCCCAAAGGAAAACTCCTAGGGATATTGTAGCCAAATTCCAGAGTTCCCAGGTCAAGGAGAAAATATTACAAGCAGCCAGAAAGAAACAATTCAACTATTGTGGAAACACAATCAGGATAACACAAGATTTAGCTGCTTCTACATTAAGGGACCGCGGGGCATGGAATACAATATTCCGGAGAGCAAAGGAGATAGGATTACAACCAAGAATCACCTACCCAGCAAAACTGAGTATAATCCTGCAGGGGAAAAAAATGGTCATTCAGTGAAATAGAGGACTTTCAAGCATTTTTGATGAAAAGACCAGAGCTGAATAGATAATTTGATTTTCAAATACAAGACTCAAGTGGAACATGAAGAGGTAAACAGGAAAGAGAAAATCATAAGAGATTTATTAAGATTGAACTGTTTACATTCCTGCATGGAAAGATGATATTTGTAACTCATGAGACCTTTGTCAGAATTAGGGTACTTGGAGGGAAAAAATTATATGTGTATATATATATGTATAGATAGATAGATAGATGGATAGATAGATGGATAGATAGATAGAGGGCACAGGGTGAGTTGAAAATGAAGGGGTCATATCTGAAGAATAAAATTAAGGGGTGAGATAGGAATATACTAGGAAAAGGAGAAAGGGAGAGGTAGAACAAGGTAAATTATCCCACAAAAAAAACAGAAAAGAAAAGGCTCTTACAGTGAAAGGGAAATGGGGAAGGTGAGAGGGAATGAGTGAATCTTATTCTCATAGGATTTGACTTAAGGAGGGAATAACACACACTCAATTGGGTGTGGAAATCTGCCTTACCCTACAGGAAAATAGGGGAAGGGGACAAGAGAGTAGGGGAATGATAGAGAGGAAGGCAGATTGGGAAAGGGAGTAATCAGAAGCAAATACTTCTGAGGAGGGACAGAGTCAAAAGAAAGAATAGAATAAATGGGTGGGTGGGATAGGATTAAGGGAAATAGAATTAGTTTTTCACCGCATGTCTGCTATGGAAGTGTTTTGCAAAACTGCACATATATAACCTACATTTAGTTGCTTGCCTTATCAATGAGGGTGGGTGGGGAGGGAGGAAGGGAGAAAATTTGGAACCCAAAGTTTTAAAAACACATGTTTAAAAAAATGTTTTCACATGCAACTGAGAAATAAGAAATACAGGAAATGGGGTACAGAAATCCATCCTGCCCAACAGGAAAATTGAAGGGGAAGGGGATAAGAAAAGTGGGGGAGAGATAGAAGGGAAGACAGACAAGGGGAAGGGGTATTTAGAATGCATTGCATCTTGGGGTGGGGGAGGGGCAAGATGGGGTGAAAATCTGGAATTTAAATCTTGTGGAAGTAAATATTAAAAACAAAAAATAAATAAATAAAATTACCATAAAAATTTAATGAATAAATAAATAAATAAATACACATCATGGTGTAACTTAATGAAGTCAGACTAGAAATGATCAAGTTTGACTCGTAGTTTTAAGGATAGAAAAGGCAAGCATAGTTACACTATAACTAGTAACAAAGATTATATACAGAAGACTTATATAAAGAAGACTGCCTTCTCTGAAGGTTTGGCTTCAAAATTTCAAACTGTACCTAAGAAAAATTAGTATATTAGTCTGATCACCATCTTAATTGTTGTTGTTCAATTGCATCAATCACGTACGACTCTTCATGACTCCATTTGGGGTTTTCTTGGCAAAGATACTGAAGGGGTTTGCCATTTCTTTCTTGAGATAATTTTATAGATGAGGAAACTGAGGCAAACAGGGTTAGGTTACTTGCCTAGGGTCACGTAGTTAGTAAGCATCTGAATGCAGATTTGAAATCAGGTCTTCCTGACTCCAGGCCTGGCACTCTATCCATTGTGCTACCTCGCTGCCCTCACCATCTCAATAACCACTTTTAAAAACCTCTCAATGACCTTGGGCAATTGTTTCAATATATTCCTGTTACAGAATTTTAATGATTACCTTCATCTGATCCTGTATATAGTATGTAGATAGTTGTTTTAATCTTGTCACACCCATTAGACTATGGGCTTCTTAAGAGTAGGAACTGTCTTTTGCCTTTCTTTGTATCCCCATTGCTTAGTATGGTGCCAGGTACATGGTAAATGCTTTATAAATGCTTGATAACAGCTGGTGAAACTAATCATTTCAGATTAAGAGATGATGGCATGCTCTGTCCTGTGAAGAACTAAATTCTAGTAAGCAAAAGGACTGCTGATCTCATACATGCACATATTGCCTCCAAGGATGTAGACTATACTCCTTCCATGGCTACTTGTCATATATCACTTTCATCCATTCCTCCCATAGGCTCATCACTGGGATTCCACCCAATATCTTAGGCCCTTCCTTATACTGTCTTGAGCATAGAAACATCTGTTAAACCTTGCTGTCAACTAAGTGACTGACCCACCCAGTACTCACTCATACATTTATCTGATTATATTCCTTTATATTACTTCTCCTAAATAGCTCCTCATGTTTAACCTTTTGCAGATTATTTATGTATATCATATACTCCTCCATGGACATTTAGGTGACTCTAAGATTCAATTCACTGGTGATCATAACATCATAAACTTACAGTCATATCACTAAAATATTACTGATGTGTTTAAAAGGGGACAGAGGAGGAAAAGAAGGGGCATTGTTTCAGAGATAAGCTTTGGAAGTCACTAAAAATATTTTGCAATTCTTTAAAAGCAATCCAGCCTTCTCTGCCCACCTGTTCAACTCTGAGTCCAATTCATCATCCATTTGCCATATCTGTCCAAAAAAAGTGCTAAAGATTGTCTATCTTACTGCATAGAAACAGTCAGACCACTAAAAGGGCAAAGGAATTAAATATGGTTATGAGAAACCACAATAAATTACATGGAATGGTGAAAAAAGTTAAAAATGATTTATTATAACATGTGATAATCTTTTGGAACTTAGAAATTGAGTTCATTTTTTTCGTTCCTAATGCTAGATAGAATTTTGAACTTTTTTCATGAATCTCTTTGTCCTAACAATATAAAAGCCAGTCAAAATGGCACAATGAGTATTTATAATTGAAATATATTTCAACATAATAATTATATGGATTAATATCAATGCCATTCAGCATTATTCTAAGCGTGACCACAAATAAAGCATGAAGAACATAGGGAAAAGAATTTCAGAGTTGGGGGGCAGCTAGGTGGCACAGTGGATACAGCACCGGCCTTGGATTCAGGAG